TGGAAGAGCAGTCAGTGCTCTTAACCTCTGAGCCATCTCTCCAGCCATAAGTCAGGTACTCTTAAAAGTGGTTTTGGCAACCTCCATGTTCTGACTAGCGATTCCACACCACAGGAGGCAGAGGTAACCAAGGTGCCAAGAGGAAATACATTTCCTCTTAAAAGATCTGAACCACCTGGTCTGTAATCGTCCCAGGTACTTGGGAGATGGCAGGGTCGGGGGAGGGAGGCCAAAAATTCAAGGCTAGCCTGGGCGATTTGACCTTACCTCAAAATTTACAAAAGGAGAAGGGCAAAGGATATATAGCCCACTGATGGAGTAGTTGCCTAGAAACCACAGGGCCCTCTGAATTCACTCCCCGGTGCTATCCCCCTCCAAATGCACACAAACAGAAAACCATTCAAAAACAACATGGGAGTGGACTTTACTCAAAGTTTAGTAGGATGACACATTATACAGTAGAAATAGACCACACAATTAAGCTTCTCTACATGGCCTGAACTTGGTGTCAGTGCTTACACATCTGGAATGGTCACGAGGCCTCCAACGACTTAATGGCTGATCCTTTATCTCAAGCCAGACAGTGTTAGCTAGAATTCCTTCATGGATGCCACTGCTGAGGGGACAATGACTGCAGAGAGTGAGCTCCATCTTCAAGGGGTCCTTAGGCTCCTTTTGAATTAGCCTTGCTGTTCTGTAAGGTCTTCTGGGATTCGGCCTGGATAATCTAGGTACAAAACAGGACTTTAACCAGTTTAAGTTCTTCAGGCATCCCCTTTTACCTTCTTGTCCAAATTAATGGCCACAAGCCAGGCTCAATATGTGTGTCATGCCTGTAATCCCTGCCTGACTGTAAGCCTAGCCCCCAGGCAGGCACCTTTGGAGAACTGGCCCGAATTCCAGGAAAGCCTCAACTAGAGTGAGCTTCCTCCACCCATCCCCTTCCCCAAAGAAGAGCAGCTAGACGGTGGCCATGAAGTCACATATGCCAATTGCTTTGGTGATAAAGGTGAAGACACAGCAAGCATGAGCCTTGGGATTGTCTTCTGAATGCCTATCCAGCTACAGGTTCACAGACTACCCTACAGTGGACCTGCCATACACATAGTTCATCTTCCTCCCCACTGCCCCTCCACTGAGTGACCTTCCTACTGTTCACTTGTGTCAGGCTTTGCCCTCCCCCAGATTCTGTCACCCAAATGGCACAGAAATTTCTTATTTGCATGCATTTTTCTAAAATTTTAATTGCTTTCCTGCTAGTATTTCCTGACATTAGAAGCTTGTGGAAACTATTTGCATTCAGCACATAAAAAAATAGGGATCTGCCTATACTATAATTAACTTCTAGACTTTACATGCTTAGGTTTGCTCTGCCATTGCATTGGTGGAGGTTGTTTGTTTGTTTTTCTCTACTTTTGGATAGCAGGTAAAAAGAGAGCAATTATGAGATGACTAGAGTCCAGCCTACTGCTTCCTGTTTGGCTGACAGGAAGAACTGTGGTGTTTTGTGGTGCCCTTATAGATAACTGGGAAGGGGGGAGAGAGTTGTCTCTGTGGACTACTTACTGCTTCTTTGGAGATGATTGCTGGTGGTGTTATGACTGAGGATGGTACTGGGGGTAGTTTTGTAAGTTCTTCATCCTTAAATATCACAACTGAGAGATTAGTGATTTAATACAGCACACACGAGGATCTACCATGAATACCAGGAACCCTTAAATACTTTTTATTATGTAGCGTTTGAAAGGCAAAAAGTCTGAAAATTGCATGTCATTAAAATGTTGATTTTAAAAAAATTATTTTTGGCAGTGCTAGGGATGGAAGAAGTGATTTCCCATGATCCCCACAAGCCCTTTACCAGTGAGCTACACACCTAGTCCCGTATGTTGAATTTTTTTAGAAACATATTAAACACCATAATAGATGTTTTTTTTTATTAGCAAGTAGTACTGTATCAAATACGATGACTTATGTTTCATTAGGAGGATTGAAAATGCAGACACTTGGTTGCCTGTGAATGCTTGTCGTCTCAGCACTTGGAAGGCTGAAGCAAAGGGTCCAGAGTTTGACTCCAGCCTGAGCTATAGTCAGACCTTGTCTAGAGGATAAGAAAATTAACACTGGAAAAAAAAAATTAATCAGCTTGATCATGTAGAAAGAGAGAGCTAACCTTAGTTCCCTTTAGTTGAGGTGCAGGATCTACAACATTCTCTTGTGACTCAGGGGGCATAGATGACGCAGAGACAAGGTTTGTCTTTGGAACCTGGAGAAACGTGACATCATTGTAAACATCCTCTGACTCTGTGCATGTGAGCATGCGTGTGTGTGTGTGTGTGTGTGTGTGTGTGTGTGTGTGT